CACCTGCAGAGGGAACCAGCCGCGCCCACACCTGGCACCTGCAGAGGGAACCAGCCGTGCCCACACCTGGCCTCAGCCCAGAAGGAGCGAGTTGGCACTTGCGACCTTTAGAAAAAATTTAGCCTGTTTTTTAAGACACTAAGATGGTGGCAATCTATTGCAGGAACTGGAACGACACCTCTTATCTGAGGGGGAGCGCTGCACCCACATTCTTCCTTGGCCTGCAGCGCTGCTCACACTCGACATACTTCCCAGTTACTGAGTGCTCACTGCCACACCGGCCATGACTATGACAGCAGAACTAGCACACTGTCATTCCTTCTCCACGCTCTCTGGGATCGAGCTTGTACAAGACCTTTCACTTTTTTAGTAGAGCAGGCACGGCCCCTCTGAGCGTTCCAGCTAGAGGCGTCCTGGCTTCAGTGGGAGCTGTTGGCAAGCCGAATGCAGGTGACCTGAACAGAGGCACCGCCACACTGCGCCAGGCAGGCAGTGCGAGCCACACAGCACGGGGACAGCTCCAGGCCCGGCAGGCAGGATGCAGCAGGCAGCCGCATGCCACCGCACCACTAGGGGCTAAGAGCAGCCTAACAGCTTGAGGGTCTCTGCCTACGATTTTCCATTTAAAATTCTAAATAACTGCTGACAGTGAGCACAGGGCTGTGAATCAGGATGGGTGCAGGGTCCACCGGGGCTCACACAGGGCAGGAGCACTGGCCCCCATCCAAATGTCTCCGGGACACCCGTCGGCCAAGGTTCGTGGCAAAGACTGTGGCATGGCACGGGTGCGTCCACAGGCGCCAGCCTGCCTCACATCCCCCCACCCGCGCCACAGCTAGGGGCTCTGGCCATGCAGGGAACAGGCGAGAAGCAGCACTCTCTCCGTGGGGGCCAGTAGGACAGGTGTGAGCCTCCAGCTGCATCTGTGCTAGCAAGGCAACCCAGACGGCAGCAAAAGGCCTGACCATGACACCTGCGGCCCCGGGGCCTGCCTGAAGCCCACCTGTCCTCAAACTGACTAGTTATACCAACTGCCAAACTTGCTTTCTGCCAACACCATCCTGGGAGGGCTTTTGCTATGGAGCACAAATCCAAACTGTACAATTTCCATGCTGCAAGGTGACATGACACCCCAGGAAGCGCCTGTCACTCCAGCACTGCGCTGGAGACCAGGCCTGCTGTGAGGCATCACAGCAGAACGCGAGCACCGGAGCCAGGCCCAGCCTGACGCTGGGGAACCCTGGCCGCGTCACCAAAGCTCTGGCTCACTCCCATCTGGGAGGCAGGGTAAGGACCAGCCCGACCGTGGAGGGCCCGTGAAGGCGGGGCTTTCATGGAGTGCCTTATTACTAGCGCCGACACCAGAAATGCTCACAACGCCAGCTGCTGGTGTCGCTGGCGGCGGCCTCTCCACTGCCAGTTCAGTCACACTGTCCAAGCTGGGTCTTCACTTCTGAAGCCCACTGCCCTGGTGCCTCTTTCTGCCTTCACCAGCCTTCGTCCATCATCGGGACCAACAGCCACTCTCCCTCATGCCGCCGGCACCGTTGCACCCTGAAGCCCCTCTCCTGGACCAGGCAGCACAGGCAGTGGTGGTGAGCCTGCGCCACACATGCTACTGCTTTGAGGAAGAATGTGTTCTTGCGTGAGTTGCTTCCGCTAAACGAAATCCTTAGTACTGAGGGTTAATTACAATGTTGGCGCTTCGCGATAAATAAGTGGGTTTTGGGCTACACTACGGCACTCGTGTCTCAAAGGTGCATAATCTACTGAACAGAGATCTACTGAAGGGAGCTTCAGAGGCAGGCTCGGGACAGAGCTGTGGGCGGAAGCGGTAGACGTGGCCCTGGCGGGCTGGGAGCCACAGCCCTGCAAGGCAGGCACACAGCTCCAGCCTGCGGACCTCTGTCCAGCTCCCACTGCAGGCACAACACCCAATGGGAAGGCACCTCGAGTGCTGCTAAGATGTCGTGGAAGGCAGAGGGCAGGAGTTCAAGACCACGGCTGCGACGACTTCCTGGGCATGAAGTTTTTTTTTTTAGTCCAAGTGTAGGGTAAAGAAAGGGCAGCAGGAGACTCACCCCAACCCCAACAAGGTCCAGCTGACGTGCGAAGTGCTGCGCCCCTGACATGCTGCTGGAGGGAGGGCGCTGGCTCCAGGAGCATCTGCAAGGCCCCGGCGTGGCGGTGAGCATGCAGCCACCCTGCTGCCGGCCAGGCCGACGGCTTGGGGCGGCCTCTCCTGGGCACCCGGCCCTCAGCCAGCTCCATATCCGCGGCCACGCGGGCACCACCTGCCAACCTCGGTGTGCTCCTTGTACCAGCACCAGGGCCAGGATGCTGGGTTCGCAAACCCACGAGTGAGCCAGTGCTGTGAAGGAGGCGTCTGGCTGTGCTGCAGGGCTGCGACCCCAGACCACAGGGCTGTGAGCACCGCACCCACTGTCACCCTGGACTCTAGTCTGTGCCGGCTTCTCCCTGCCTCGTAGTGTGGACATCCTGCACCTGGCGTCCCAGCCAAGTCGCTCCACCCTGCACTCTGTGGTGCACAGAGGCCACTGCCTCCCCCTCCCTCGGCCCCACCCTTACCTTCGAAGCTGCCAGCGAACAGGTAGACCCAGGTGAGCGCTGGGATGCACAGCAGGGTGAGTGAGGCCGCCAGGAATCTCCGCCTCCCCCTGCAGACGCCCAGCATCCTCCCGGAGGTGCTCCGCTAGTGCCGGGGCCGCGTCTCTGTGCGGGGCGTGGCGTCCTCCACCTCCCTCATAATACTTTCTGAAAGGAAGAACAAGGACAAGGGCTGAGTCCTCAGCACCGGATACAGGTGCCACCCACAGAGGGACATGTCCCGGACACACACACATACGCACGCACGCTCAAGGAGGACATGGAGGCGCTGCCTGCTGTCTGCCATCCTCGAGCAAGGTGCATGCTTCCAAAGCCCGGGCCACAGGGCAACTCTGAGGAGAGCAGTGGGGGAGACCAGACTGCACGGAGCGTCCTTGGTGATCCAGGATGTGACAGAAGAGATCTACATGGGGCTGATAAAGGTGCCGGCGCAGCCCGGTGGCGAGGAGGGCGGATGGGCCCTGTGTTGTGCGTGGTGGCCGGGAAGGAAGGCCTGCGGCGAGGGAGGGAGGCTGCAGGCCGGGGTCCACCTGCGTGTGTGAAGCCTCAGCCACAGGGAGCACTGAGCACGGCTCCTGGGGCCCTCCAAGGGGCTTCTCCTAACCACGGTGCCGGAGGCTGGGCGGAGATGCTGGGACACGCGACGTTCCGCAGAGGCCACAGACAAGCAGGTGAGTCGCACCCAGCCTAGAGAGGCTCTCCCGAGGCCAGGACAGCGGGTGGACACCCCAAGGGGAGCATAGACCAGTACAGATCAGGGGAGCCCTGACCCCTCCTCACTGCCTCCAGGCCCTCACATGGGTGTCGCTAGGCTACAGGAGTCAGGAAAGGCCGGGTGGAGCCCCCATGGGGCACAGCCACTGGGACAGACAGCTCTACAGGCGGCAGGTGTCTGAGAATGGCTGCCTGGGCATCACAACCACCTGCCAACCACACATCCTTCCTCCACTGTCACTCTCGTGCCTGCTGACAGGGTCCTGCACTGCCTCTTCTGGCCACTGGCCCCTCACATTCCCAGGGACACAGCTCCCACCTGCCACCACAGTGTCAGACCACTGCTGAGTGATCAAGTGGGATCCAGTGCTGCAAGAGGCCACAGTGCCTGCTGCAGAAGCGGCTGCTCAGCCGCCTGCTGGCCAGAAACACTGACCGGAAGGAGCCACAGCCCCCAGGCTTCAGCCTCCGCCACACAGGCGGATTTGCACAACACCAGTGAGACACCAGAGCTCACCAAGTGGGGGCTGCAGGCTAGGAATACAAATCCTTTAGGGCACCAGAGATGCTGAGGACCAGCTCCCCTGAAAGTCTGCATTGCAGCCCCACAGGCCACCCTGCTGCTCAGACTGAGAGGAGGACTGCGTGTGTGAGGGCTGAGCGTGTGGGCTGGAGCTCGAGGCCAGCGGCTGCGTGCACTGTCCCCGCGCCACCTTTGCTCGACCAGCTCTGCTGGGCAGCCATGCTGTGCCTGGGGTGTGCAGCGGATGGGAACTGAGTCCTACCACACTGACACCTACGCAGCGCTGGAGAGGAGGCTCTGCAAAGCTCCCTCGCTTCTGCAGAAGCAAATCCCGCAACGCACACCGCACAGTCTGCTCCTAAGGGGATTGACCTGCATCTGAGGCTAAACCCAGACGCTTCTCGGAGTTCAGCTTCTCAGTGACACCTCTGTGTGCCTCCTCTGGAGGAAGATCAGTGGCAGGAGTCGTCCAGGAAGCCAGCACGCGCCCACTGGGGAGGAGGGCAGCAGAGCCGGAGCACACGCCGACTGTGAACACTGTGGACGCCCAGCCAGGGAGACAGCGCTGTCTAGCTCTGCCGCTGTGAACCAGCAGGGCCCACCGGCGGCCAGAGGCCCAGAGCTGCCAACAGCACAACCCCAGGCCAATGCCATACCCTCTTTGGCCAGGGCGCCTCCTCCTGAGATGGATGTATGGGCTCCAGCTGAGGGAGCTCACTGTGGAAGCCAGAAAAGTCATACACTGCTAAGCCACAAAAGCAAGAGTCAAAGCTCGTGAAAGGAGCACAGGGTGGAGCCGTCCTGTAATCCCCACACTCGGGAGGCTGAGGCAGGAGGACTGCTGTGAGTTCCAGGCCAGCCTGGAATAGCCAGACCTCCTCAGAAAACCAAAACCGAAACTGAAACCCTCAATATACAGTTTAACTGCAGGTACTCTTCCATCCAAAGTAATAAAGTGTATAAAGACCAGCAAATGCCCACGTGTCACTGTCTCTCTCCTTATATATAAATACAGACACTGATATAAGGTAACCTCAAAATACATGGTGTTTACGTTTTAGAAGTTATTACAGCAAAAGACACACTGTCATAAATTCCCCGAAAATCCTTCCCCTCTCCTCATCTGCCTTATTCACTGTGTCGGGCACCGTGTGACTTCCAGCTTTTGCCGAAGTCTAAATGACCTTGAAAGGAGAAACGTTTTAAATGTGCAGCCAGCACTGCACAAGTGGAGACCTCAGGAGAAAGGACGCCAGAGCCACTGCCCACGGCGGCGGGAGGAGCGCGTGTACGCCGAGCTGGCACAGCCACGTGTCTGGCTGCAATAGTTTTCCACTTGAAGCAGTTGCTGTGGTTTTCAATCAGGTATTATCCGCGTACGGCACACACAGACATGCAGAAAGGCTTGTGCAGAAAGTTATCTGGGTATAGGGCAGGGATGCCTCAGGCTACACAGACTTCACCTCCCTTTACATAAGAAGCACACACTGCTTTTACAATTTAAAAGCTATCGAAGAGCTTAAGTCATTACGTCTCTGCGGGTTATCTGCAATTCAGAACACCTCCAGGAGCAGGTGGCGCCCGCCACAGGAATCACAGGCACTGCCATGGAGGGACTCACACTGGCCTCCGGGCTGGGGGGGACTCTTCACAGGGCCCAAGGCACGAGGTGTCACCAGGAGCTACACGTCTAAGTCTCTGGGATTCAAAACAATGTACAGGAAGTGTCTTCCGATCACTCAGGGTCCTAACCGATGCCAAGCACTTCAGCCTGGCAGGCTCAGCCAGCCGGGTCCCTCCGAGGTGGCAGCCAGCCCTGCGTGGGTGGCTGCAGGGACGGGGAGGGAGGCAGGGCTTTTGGTGGTGCAGGGCAGCTAGGATCCACAGCCTTCCCGCTCCACAGTCCTCTCCAGCGAGGTCTGCAGCTCTGTTGGTCTGTCTATCATCTACCAATCTGTCTACTAGCTGTCACCTGTCGTCTACCATCTGCATCTGTCTATCTACAATCTACCACTACCATTTACCTACTATCTGTCATCTACCTATCATCTATCTACCTACCATCTGTCTGTGCACCTACCTACCTACCATCTACCTGCCCACCTACTTACCTACCTACCTACCTACCTATTGACAACAGCGCTGGAGTTTGAATACAGGGCTTTCACACGGAGGTACATCCCCAGCCCCTCTTCCCTATAATTTTGAGACAGGGTCTTGCTCCACTGCTCCTCCTGCCTCAGTCTCCCAAGCAGCTGGGATTAGAAGTGTAGCTTCTGCCACCTACCCAGATTGAGGCTGGGGCCACTGCTGTGTGCCCAGCACAGCCGGCTAAGCGTGAGCCTCCCGTCTCACACATGGTGGTGCTGGGCAGCCCTGAAGCCACACACACAGAGGAGACTGTCTCTTGACTCGGGCCCTGGGCCATCCTCTGGCACACGAGAGGCATTGCAGGATCATTGCTCCACATGCTGAGGGATGGATGAGCAGCCAGTGGCAGACCCACTGGCAGACCCATCGCCCCGCACGGCTGCTTCCAACCGCGGCTGCAGCCCCAACATCTGCACTAGGAGAAACAGAATTAGCACAGCACCAAAGGAGGTGCCTTGGGCAGACAGCGTGCAGCCAGGCTGAGGTGGCCCTGAGAACAGCCTCACTGCTGCCCACTGGTTCCTGAAGGGTAGCTCTTGCCTCAGGGATGCCGTGTGCACTGATCGGGGGATCCTGGGGGTGAGGGCCACAGGCCCACGGAACCCCAACTCTCTGGCTGCAGGGCAGCAAGTCCTGTGGGTCTCAGAACCTGTGATGGCACGGCTCAGGGCAGCATGAGCCGAAGCCTCCATCCCAGCCCAGCCCATGTCTTCTTTGCAGTGAGGTCATGCTCCGCGGCACCCGAGGGCGTCTCCTGTCTCCCTCCATCATATGGAAAGCAAAGGCCAAGGTGTGGCATTCCCAGAGCCCAGGAGGAGACCCAGCCGGGAACATCTGTGTATGCACTGGCTGCAGCAGTCGCTCCAAAGCCTCAGGGGACACCAAGCCTTCCCAGGTCAGAGTTACACCCAAGGGGAACTGCAGCAGTTGGTGTACAGCCAAGTTCTTGGGATGAGACTCACGCGACTGGCTTTCTACTGTGATGTCCGTACCCCAGGCAGATGCAGGGAGCAGCAACGGGGGGGGGGGGGGGGCTCCCTCATGGTCACGACTTGACAAAGGGCCTCCTACCGAACAGAACATGAAGCACTGTGGCACACCCCAGTCATGCCAGCTTCTCAGGAGGCTGAGGCAGGAGGATCACAAGTTGGAGGCCAGCCTAAGTAACTTAGCAAGATCCCATCTCAAAACTGAAAATACTAGAAGAACTAAGAATGTAGCTTAGGGGCTGGGGAGATAGCTTAGTGGTCTAAGCACTGACATGGCAAGCTCAAGGACCTGGGTTCGATGCCCAGTACCACATGCTGGGCTGACCGCACATGGAGTTTGTCATCAAAATTGGGCATGGTGGCACATACCTGTAATCCCAGTGTTGGGGAGGCTGAGACAGGAGCACCATTAGGATTCTGAGCTGCACAGCAAGACCCCACGACAAATAACTTAAAAAAGAATTTATCTTACTCTAATGTCTAGATTTATAGTCTCTCTCTCTCTCTCTCTCTCACACACACACACACACATACACACACACACACACACACACTCTTCTACTCGCGGAGGAAGGACAGACTCTCCTAACCCTACCACTGAGCACGTTACTGCTCTTACAAGTGGGACAAACCGCCAAGGCACTGCTAGATGAAGACGTTCCGTCGCTCTCCAACATTTCTCTCTGATACTGCAGCGTGCCTCCCTGTGACCTTGCCTTGCTGTTTCCAGCCCTCAAGGGGCCACATGGCCGGAGGCCACATGCTAGGCA